GATGTAATAAAAATATAAAGATTTATTTAAGTAAAATAATAAAATTTAAATTTTTTTTATATATTTTATCCCTTTTAATTTTTTACTCGATCATGAAACTTACCTTTGAGCAAACCCTTTTGCAATGTTGGAGGAATATACAATCAAAAAAATTTTATATAAAATTTAATATTTAATTTAATTAATTTAAATAATTATTTTAAAAAATTAATATCAAATAAACTTGAAGTTTAAATTTCTTTTCATATATTTTCTTAACAAGGGGACTAAAGGTGAACGTTTGAATTTTCTCCCACCTTTATTCATTGCACCAAAAGGACAAATGTGTTGGAAAAAGCAAGGTTATAAAATAATTTGGTTTTAACCTGTTCTGGTCACAGGCTGCATAAGAAGGACAAATTGGGATGGGCATCTCAATCCTTTTCTTCCGTTTCTAGCAAACCAGGTAGTTGGATTCTCCTTCCACCTTTTGGTGTCACGTTCTGCCCAACCCATGTGCCTGCATTTGGGATGTTAATAATTAATCTCCTAATTTAATTGTTATTATTAATTAGGGTAATAATATTTAATAGAACAATTTGGCCTTTGATTGCAATATTCCTCGAGTGCCGATGAGTGAACAGTGAAATCAAGTGTGAAGCTATGATAACGTAACATAAAAAGTAACTTGATAATTGTTTTCATGAAGTGATTGGTGGGAGACTATTTCACTTATAATTTTTAATTACAATCTTAAAATTTTCTAATAATAATAAAAAAATACATAAGATTCACTTGTTATAAATGTAGATTTTATATAATATTTTTAAAAAATTTCATAATTTTAAATTATAATTAGATAATTGCTATTGCATGTAATATGCTCTTGATTAATACAAGAAAAATTATAATCTATAATTAAATATTATGTTTCTTATAAAAATAAATAAATGAAATAAAATAAATTAATCAATTAATCAACAAACCAACATATAATTAAATAAATCTAAGTTAAAATTATAACACATTCACAGATGATAAATTTTAAATTCAAGATTTAATTTAAAATTTTAAAATCTCTTTTCTTTACCATTAAAACAAAAATTTCATGGCCTTATTATCTAATAATTGTTTGCGATAAGAACATCGAAGTATTCATAGGACTTTTTTTTTCTTCCTTCGCATAAAATTTTCTTAGACTGGCCGAAGAAGGGGACCATTAACTTTGGAGAGGGAAGGTGGACACTTAGCAGGCTAATACTCTCACTCTTTCTCTATTCATTAATTCAATCTTCCCATAACGAAACAAACATATAGAAGTCTAAAGGTTAGAGAGGGGTGGGGGAGATGGGAGGGGGCTTCAAAATTTAAAAGAAAATGATGCTAAAGTTACCAAATTCCAAAGCAAAAAGTATAGAGGGAGTTTTTTTTTATTGCACCCTAAACACCTAGTTGGCTGCGAAAAGGTTCATCCTCATAATGGAGCCACTACCTAGTTTCCATTTTTGTAGCTTATATTATTGGAACCTCAATCTCCTTCACAAAGGGAGTTCATGACAGGGCAAAGTCAAGGAGCTAAGCTACCTATAATGTTGATGTTATCTCAACGAAACATAACCAGCTTTTCTTTTTCTTTTGAAAATCGATTAGATATGCACGAAATGAATTCTGGGTAAAAAACGGACTGGGTGTGGCCTAGGTGGGGTTGAATGAGCCATGGATCACCCAATGAAGCTACAGATTGAAGTCATTGAAAAGACAAATAAAGATAACGACTTGTCAAAGCTAAACTTTTACTTGAGAATTGAGATAGGAGTTTGATGGCTTATATGTGGGGTGACGTTTATGAAAATGATGTATCATGGCGACGGCCTCGTATATAATAGCGTTACACTCTCCTATCCTATATATATATATATATATATCTTGAAATAATGATTTAATTAATTTATATAATTATTTTTAAAAATAATATTAAGTAAATTTCAAATTAAAATTAAAAAAAAAAGAAAAAATAACAACTGAGAAAAATAATAAGTATTAAGTAGTAAAAATTGTGGTCTTAATTTAATATACACAGAACTGAAAATGTATAATTAATTAGTGAAAAGTTCTTTATTAATTGAGAATGTTGAATTATATTTGAAATTGAAGTACATAGTACTAAACAAACAAAAATTTAAAAGATTTGTGTTGATCATAATCCATAATTCCTGTCCGCCTTTTATAAAAGAGTGAAGGGCAGGGGTTCAAAATCCAATTTATTATTGGGGTTATGGATTCTCACAGCGACTCACTATAATTGCTGTTCGGCAGAATGATCTACCAATTAACTAGAACACGTTTCTTTCCACATTGGGTCAAACATGTTTGTGATTTCTCCACCGTTGGAATCATCATCACCCAAAAAAAAAAAAAAAGTGTCCAATCCATCTGACTTCCACTCTTTCCCATTCCCAGCTGCAGACAAATTAGAACTTGCTTTTCCATCTAAGCCATGCCACCAGCTAGGTAAAGTTCAAGGACCACATTTGAAAAATGTTAGGAAATATGACTTCTTGGTCTAAAAACTTTTTATCATATCATCTTGTCATTTTGTGATTGAATTTTTGCCATTTATTTAATTGAAACTTACATTTTTAATCAACCGGCCATGACCCAAAATCGAAGAATTTTCCTTATTCTTCATTTTCTAGCTTTTTATTGAATTTCAAATTTAACGAAACGAATAAAATAAAATAGAACTATGCATATGCGTGCGCGTTGTGAAATAAATCTAGTTTGGAAAAAGAATTGAATGGAGTTGGACGTAATACGAAGATTCAAAATAATACGACCACAAATGTTGATGGATTTTGGACGTTGGACCATACCATGCACCAATCAACTTTTAGATATTTTTTGTGTTACTTCCTATTTAAAATTCAGGCTTAAGAGAATCAAGAGAATGATTTTTTTTTTTGTAAATTTATTTTTTAAAATATAAATAAAATATAATATAAAATAATTATCATTTAATTTTATTTATCATTTTAAACACCTTAATTATTATAAAAAATATATTATCGGGGGTTATATAGTATTGATTAAAGTGATTTATTTTTTTTAATTATAATTAATGTATATTTTTTAATTTAATAAAATAATATATTAAATGTAAATTTATTTTAAATACTTATAACATTTTAACTTTGTTTGACTCATTAGCTGGATGCATAACTAAATAAACTTAATAGTATTTTATAAGGATATTTAGGTTATATTTGATTTATAAGATGATGAATAAGGTAAAACGATAATTATTATATATTATATTTGATTTATATATAAAATAAAGGGATAGAATTATAACAATGATTAATTATTTTTTTTGGATAAAATGATTCAATCATTTTAAAATAAAAAAATATTATTTTTAATCTATGAGATTGAACATATATATCTTATTATATTTTTAAAAATTACATCAATAATTTAAATCATATAAAATTTTATAAAAGATAATTTTAATTAATAAATAAATTATTATATTTTAATCTTTACATACATTAAATATAAAATAAAATAATATTATTTAATTTAATTCTATTTATAATATTATCTTATCTTATTATAATTTTATATATCAAATACATCATTATTTTTAAAATCTAATAATAGCTTAGCTATTCATGTTATAATCAAGCTAGCATTGCCCCAGACAAATACCCAACAATTCCAATATGATCACCATAAATTGGTGCGTGTAATTAATTTACTACTACATAAAAATATCAACCTTATGTATGGCTTTTAGTTTCAATCAAATTTCATTTTGGTAAAGATATTATATGCATTAAAGTATTACATTCATATTTATTTTTTTATTGTAAGAATTTAAATAAAAAGTATTAAATTTTCATGAACACTATTTTTCACACGTGTCAAAGGTTTGCCTTGATATATCTGAAAGACAAAGAAACCTTCAAGAACTGAAGTTCGAAAATCCAACGGATAAGGATAAGAGTTTTTTGGCTCTCGGATTTTTTGACGTGCGATAATCACTTTAAATTCCTTTTAATCCGAAATTAAATTGGATTAAATCTTATAAAAAGATAAGTTCTTTATTTACATATTTTCACCTATAAAAATAAGAGTTACAAGACAAAGAACGGGCTTTAGTGGCGAATGGGGTTAATAAAATCTGAAAATTTTAATTTTGGTATTACGTAAAATATTAATAATTTATAAATTTATATTATTTTTATATAAAAATTATGTTTTTGTTGCGTTGAATTTTGAGTTGAGAGGTAAAACTCAAAAAATATAAAAAAATAGTTAAAGATAAAAGTTAAAAGTTTTTTAATGTTTATATTTTGATGTTTAAATAAAAAATAAAAAAATATGAAAGTAGAAAAATATTAATTGTTTAGATAATATTTAAATTATTCTATTTATAATTAAAGACAAGAGATTTTAAGATAATTTAAGCTGTTCATGATTCGTTTTATGATAAAAATGATATGATTTAGATATTGATCAACTATTTAAAAAGTGATAAATCAATATAAAAAATATTTTTTAAATAGGTTGATGAGTTAGTTAAATTAATGTGTCACTTTGTATGTTAAGTCGGATTAATATATTAAATCAACTTAAAAATCATAAATATATTTAATTATATGTTTATTTTTTTAATAAAAAAATTATTTTATCTTTTAAAATAAAAAATATTGCTAATAGCTTCATAATCTATATAAATAGAAAAATATGTAATATATATTTTAATTTTATTAAATTTATATATAATTTTTTTAAAATTATATATTTTTGTATATATGTATTTTATATTTTAGGTTGCAAACCAAAAGGTTAAGAGTTAAAAGACCAAAAAGTAGCAAACAAAACAACCATCATGGAATGTGAACCCAGGAAACTGTCTCATAACTTTTTTTTTCCACTCCCTTTGTTCTTTTGCATTTTTTTTTTCTCACTTAAAAAGTTGAAACTTACAACACCTGTCCCTTTCCTCGCCACTCGTTTTTTTCCCTTTCCTTCTTTTCTTTTCTCAATTTTCTATTCCCATTTTTTAGTTTTTTATACAAATTGTTTCAAGGCTCTAAGCCTAAAAAGGAAGGAAAGAGAGTTGGAAAGATTAATCCCGTACCTTACATGGTTATCTCCTTTGCCAATATCATATCTCTCTCTCTCTCTCTCTCTCTTCTCCTCTCCATCAGTTGAATACATTATCCATTATCTTTCTTGTGTTACCTCCAATAATTCCCTCGTAGATTAGCTCAATCTCTTCTTTCTGCCCTGCTGCAACAAAGCCACCTACACTTATCTTTTTGCTTTTGTTGATAGAACTGTTCTCAGATAATTAATGGCTAGAAATTGAAAGGCCTGTCTTCTTCTTTCTTTCCTTCCTTTCTTTTAACTACTGTGACTTGTCTACAAGTACTTCCATTCAACGGTTTCCCAGTTTTCCAATTCCTACTAATATTTCACTTCAACTTTCCCACTTTTCTCTCCTCCTTTTGACGGTTTATGCGAGACTGGCAGTGTAGAAGTTAACAAGATAAGAATCTTCCTATCTTCTTCAAGAAAATTTTGGGATTCTCCCAGGTACTCAGTTTTTACTTTGCTTTTTTTTTTTTTTACAAATCGTAGGGTTCTTTTAGCCTCCACTCGTTGCAATGATAATTCTGTCGTGGGTAAAAAAAGAAAAAAGACCCATATGGTCTTCCCTTTTTCAGTCAATGAAGGTGGTAGTGGCAACTTTTGCTCTAACTTCTAAGAAAGCATGTTCTCTACTTTGGGAAATACTCACTTAAAAAAATATACTACTACTGCTATTAAGCGCAGGTTCTAATTCTCCATTTCGGATGATGAATAGAAATTATGATGCCCAACTGGGATTTTAGTTTGGGTTTTGTTTGAAGAAAAAAAAAAAAAAAGGAGGTAAAGGCCTTTCTTTTTTGCGAAAAATATCTTCCTTGCTATTTGTGGTTGGGATGTAAGTGCTGACTTCAATGATTTGACAGGTATCCAGCGTCTGAATAGCATAAAAGTTGCGCTTTATTATGGGGGGTGCAATGACCATTAAGACCCCCTCGGCCTCCCCGCTCTTGCTTTTAGCCTCTTTTCTTTACCTACATCTTTTTCTTTTTAATGTGTTGCTTCCTGGCCACTACACAACTCGGACTAAAGAAAGCCTATTTAGCCTTCTTCCATTGGAAGGGGAAGTTAGGTCATGATTCTCTGCGATATTTAAAACTGTGCATCCCCCTTGAAGATTTATTTTCTCCAATTAAAACTTAATTACTAATTGCAATTAATTGTCAACTACTCTTGATTTGATCGTATATGATGAGTCACTTGGTAGTTGTTATGACTATTATGAGTTCCAACCTGACCAATCCCCTTCCACTAATTCTTCTTGAAAGAACAAAAAAGAGTTTTTAAATTTATATTTACACATAACTCTCCTAATGTAATTTATGTTATAATTTCGAAACAAAGGGTGAAACAGAAGCCTTTGTGCTTGGTATTTGCTAGGTGTTTTCTTGTGCCAGAAAGTATTATAGTTGTGGAATTGTTGGTCTGATTCTAATTCTGGTTATATAGTATTATGAAGAATCATTTGATTTATTGGAGCAGGTATTGAGTTCAGTGGGAATAGAATTTGATTAAGGTGGTGGGAATGAAGAATAAAAAATAGAAAAAAAAAAGAAACAGGAATGTTGATGGGGTATGACTAGCAGCGGATTGATGGTAAGTTGAATGTTGGAACAATATTAAACTATTAAGTCCAGCAGCTCAGTAGGTGAATCAGGCTTGGTTTGGCATTGTTGGATTGAGAGTTGGGGTGATTTTGAAGATACTTTAAGATTCCTTGGGCCTCGTTGATGGAATCATCATCATCTGCTCCCTTTAAAAGGGCTCGGACACCAGGCAGCGGAAACCAAGGACCTTCATGCTTGGTTGATGGTTGCACTGCAGACCTCAGCAAATGCAGAGACTACCATCGACGCCATAAAGTATGTGAAGTCCACTCTAAAACCCCAAAAGTTACAATTAGGGGTCAGGAACAACGATTTTGCCAGCAGTGCAGCAGGTAATATGATTAGAATTGCTTTATGCAGATGGAACTGATTAGATTTTCCATCCCCTATTATTTTACTTTTTCCATTGGCTCCTCATTTCTATTTTCTTGATTTTTGTTTAGCAGTGCGTTATTACTTAATTGTCCAATATTGCTGTTGCAATCTACTTTTTGCGTCATAACTCTGGTAGTTTCATTGTGACTATTTTATTTTGCTTTTTCTTACACGAAATGGCAGTTCAAGAAGCTCTGTTTGTTAGTATTTGGCTGTGTTTTGGTGTCTGATCATATGTTCAGTGATGCAATACCATTGCTTCAATATTGTTGTCTGAGGTCATTCTTACATAATGCAATTGTTTGGTTCCACGAGAAATCTGGAATCCTTATTTGCAATATTCATGTTCAAACCATTTTTTATTTATGTCTGTGTTTTAAGTGTACTCAATTATAAAGAGAATACATTCTAACCAATGATTTGACAATACTTTGTAAGGGAGAAATAAAATTTCTACAGGTGATATCAACGTAACATTTTCTGCCTTCTTATTAGAAGACTATTAATGATTCCTGAAGGGTGGATTATGTCTCGAATTGCTACAGCTGCTTAACACTGTCCTTTTGACACTTTAGTCTATATAATGCAGAATTCTCTTGTGATTTTCCGACAGCATAATGTTTGCGTACGTGTCATGAATGCTAATCAAATTAATGAATGTTCTAATGTGATTTTCTCCTTACAAAATTGTCTGTCCTTGCCCCTCTTTGTTTTTGGTTGAATATTTAATTTGAAAAAGATAAGAGCTTAGTGTCTGCTGAATGCATTTATTTTATTAGGTTTCATTCGTTGGTGGAGTTCGATGAGGGGAAACGAAGCTGCAGGAAACGTCTTGATGGACACAACCGAAGACGGAGAAAGCCTCAACCTGATTCTCTGTCAGGAAGGTTTCTTTCAAATCACTCAGGTTTGACTAGATTGTTAATGTTCAAATAATGAACTTGTTTTACTGTCATTTTTCATGAGCAGAAAAAGAATCTGTTAAGTTTCCTTTATGTACTCATACAGTAGCTTATCTGTGATGTATTTTACTCTGCTTGATATAAATCAGACTCTGCTGCAGGTACTAGATATTTGCCATTCAGTAGCCCCCAAATACTTTCCACTACCACCATGACCACTTCTTGGTTGGGGGCTGTGAAAGTGGAAGCTGATATAAGCTCGGAGTTAAACTTCAGCAGCAGAAATAGCTTGTTCCCTGGATCCTCATCTCACAGCTACAAAGGAGAAAAGCAGATCTCATTCTTACAAACCGCAAGTTCGTCACTCCCTGGATTTTCTGTTTGTCAACCGCTTCTTGATGCCAATTCTTCATCAAACAATGGCGGCAGCAGCCGGAAAATGTTCTCAGTTGGGTTAAATCAAGCCATTGACTCTAGTCGTGCTCTCTCTCTTCTGTCATCCCAACCGGCTGAGACTCAGGAGATTGGATTGAGCCCCATGGTGCAGTCTGGCCCAGCTTCAACCTTGAGCCCAAACTTGCAATATAATGGTCTTGTAATGGATGCTGGGCAAGTAGGAACAATTTTGGCCGCTGATGGCCGTAGTAACACCAACCTCCATGGACATGAAATCTTTCAGACTGGACATCCTGGGTCATCTGAAAGTGGTAATCACCAGACACTCTCCTTCTCATGGGAGTAGTATGTGCCATCTCCATCTACCTTCAGATCAGATGGGTTGAGTAATTAAAAATGTTAATCCCATAAATTAGAATGTTTAGAACCTTTTGAGCCGTGACATTTTGAAAACGCAAATGTTTGTACGGGTGTTTTCCTTTCGAATAATTATGAAGCCTTGTTTAAGATGGTTTCCATTCATGTATGAATCTTCTTAGACATTATTTTCTTCTGCGGTAGTAGTTTTTACTCTTGAGGGTCTATGCAATCACTCTGTGTTGTGTTGGCAGAGGAAATTGCGTCTAAGAAAGCAATATCGGCTATCAAAGGGTTGATTTCAAATCTTCTTTCATATTAAAAAAAAAAAACAAAGCCTAAATCACAAGGATTTCAGGTAAGACAAATGAAAAGATTACTATTCATCACGTACTTAGAAAAGAAACTGTTTTTCCCGAACAAGAATTGTTATATTCAATGAATTTCATAAACTTAAGAGAACATATGTTCAAGATTATCTGCGTTTATCCATTCTTCTCTTTATAATTCCTTGCCTTTCACGTATTTCCCCTTAAAGCAGATAAGAACAGAGTTAGAATTAAATGCCGTCACCAAAGAACAAAAATTGCAAACATAACAAGACAGAAAAAACACAAATTTGGGACTAGTCCAGTAGGGATTGAGACAATTGCTGATGTCGTGGCATATTCTTTAACAACATTAATGACTGATAAATCATCCCATCTCAAGATGCCAGACATGGGCGACGGTTTATTCCCCCCAACCCCACCACCCCAAAAAAAAAAAAAATCAGAAACAGTGCCTAATCACGAAACATGTCATGTAGAACTCGTTAAGAATAAAGATTAAAGCATCAGTGGACCAACCTCTTTCGGTTAGGTAAAATGCCTAAACGTGGGTTAGCAATTAATTGCTAAAAATTAAATGTTCCATTCTCAGACGCGGAAAATGAGTTTTTTTTTTTTTTTTTATTCTTTACTCTGGGTAAACCACCGAGCTTGACCAAGTTGTGCTACGTTCAAACTGATTTTGCTCATTGGACATATCACAGACCTGGAAAAGCGAAAGAGAGCCCCGTATCTTTGAGAGGGGGGCGGAAGTATCCAGGGCAAGTTCTAAGCAGACCACATCTTGAAACACGGTTGAAAACACTATACAATATGCCCAGAATATAACCATTATCCAGTCCCGACTCTGTCAGGATCTGGGAATTAATAAAAGTGATTGTGGAATTTGTTTTTTCTTTAGCTGCTGGACGGCGTGGGCCAGCTAAGGGATTTCGTGTTCATCTGAAAAGCAAAGCCCACTTTTGCTCAATTCACACAAAAACTAGATTCTAGAGGGAGATTGTTGGACCAATCACGAGTTGGCCAGGTGTAAATTTCCCATTAGGATGATGGATTTGATCATTGGAAGGCACAACGCTCTATATATACAGGAGAGTTTGCACATCTTTATGAGCAAACCAACCAAAACATCTCTTCTCAGCTTCTATACTAAAAGAGTTTAGTAGTTTCTTTTTTGCTATTGCTAGATAACCCAAATGGAGGCAACTATGCAGAAGAGGGGGTTCTTCAAAGGCAAGCTAGCCAAGTCTTTCTCTCAAGTCACCAAGCGGAGTGGTAGCAGTAGCGGAAGCAGCAAGGTGGTTCCCTGCTCGCCATCGATCTCAAACTGTTCATCTTCAGGTGTTTTCACGGGCCAGAACTTGGCAAATGATTCGTCAATTCCAAAGGTGACTACCTATTCCTACGCTAGCTCCAAGCAGCCAACTAGTTTCCATGAACAGAAGAATGTTGCAGATCTTCCATCATCAATGCAGAAGGTGTCTTATGCTAGCTTTAAGCCACCTAGTTTCTACGAGCAGAAGGACTATGCAAATGACACTTGGGGTCATGGCGACGAAAACGTGGACTTCAAGGCCTCAAGCTATATTTCAATTGTCCGAGAACGTTTTAAGCTTGATAGAGTTGATTCCACTGGCAACAATTACCAGGAAATGCTATAGTGTAGAAAGAAGGATTAGTAATTCTAGTGGCAAGCATCTTTTGAGTTTTGACCTATCCTGAATTTATATTAGTGTACTAGTTTCTACATGTACACACTGTGAACTTTTTTAATCTACCAGTGCTTACTATAAATAAAATATATATATATATATATATATAAACAGTTTCACATGCGTTTTAAACCATTCTTGAACCACCTTAATTTACTTAGCAATATCTATAACAGGATTCTCCATTGCATAGCACCTTTTAATGGACACTGAACTCATAAAAATATTTATTAATTGTAAGGAATCCTGTTATAGATATTGCAATTGAAGATCTCGCATGTATCATCCAAGTAAGAAGTGATAAAAAACAAACCAATTACTGTCTTGTATGGTTTTGAATTCATTCCTTGAGATCAGAAAGGTAGCATGAAACTTCTTTGTTACATACTTGGAGACTGACGCATTGCAGTATGAGGTAATATTTTAGGTGTCAGCTTGGAACATATTCTGTCGTGAACAACACACAAGTTGAAGTATATATGACCAATCGTGGAAACCTGTGAATTCATCAAAAGAAGAAAATTAACCTTGATTTCACCTAAAAGGTAGGTGGGACAACCAATTATCGTACTACAAAGTGGCTCCTTCCATTAATTTGCTCAGCTTTTCACATCCAATTCTATTAATCTTACAGATATTTCACTTCATAAAATAACATTTTTAAATTTCAACAGACAGGATATAAATATTTAGAGATTAACGTTAAATTTGATATTATACTATGATTCTATTTTGAGTTTCGTTTTTGTCTTTTAATTTTATCGGATTTGCTATTATACAATTTTATTAATTTTTGAATAAAAAGGAATGGAATTAAAATATTTCATTGAAGATTCCTTTAATACAAGTGACAAATTTTTATTAACAATATTACTTTTTATTAAATGTGTATTAATGCAAGTGACAACCAGCAAACGGACTAGTAGGCAGACTCTGCGGTTCGTTGTTGCGTCCTCGATCGGTTAGGCAGGAAATATCAAATTCAATTGTTACGGAAAAATAAACTAAAAAAGCAATAAAATAAAGAATTGTCTTTTTCCCAAGGCATAATTACATGATCAGCTAGTTTGTATATAAAACTGGCCGAGCCAATCTGATAATATATTCCTCGTATTCTCGCATATCAAAGTGGGCCAAGCTTAGAAAGATTAATAATTTACTGACTGCCGATTGACTCATTAACGGAATTTGGTTAAAGCCTTCACAGATTTTTAAATAAAATTAAATTATCGTAATGATAAATTGTGTTTCGATTTAAACTTAATTTAGTCGATATTTTTAAAAGACAACGTCTAATTATTTATATTTTTTATTTTTAAATTACAATCTTTATTATAAAAAAAATCAATTTAATGATTGAATTTCTTTCTTCTTTGCACAACTTTTTTTTTTTTTTGGAATAATTCCCTCTATCTCCTTGGAACTAGAATACCATTAATCATTTTCCAATCAATAAAAGAATGTATGACATTACATAAACGAGTAAAAACAATTTCAAACTATAGGTTTCTCAATCATAAACTATTATATCTAGTACAAAAATCCAATAAACAAGCCAAATAAAGTGACAATTTATAAAAAGGAATTGCAGGAACATAAGAAAAATTTTGTTTGTTAAAGAATGTGGTCCACCGTTTTTGTTTGCTCCCAACCATATAGATTAGCGAGAATGAAAATGGACTTGACAAACACAAATGGCTTCCACGTGATTTGCTCCTGATATTGCCATCTAATTACTATTTAACACCCAGCAGTCTTCACCTTTAATTTACTCACATCGCCTTAATCACTCAGCCAATTCACCTTTATATCTTCACATGAATGATGCAGACGGTACATGCCGATAACATTCCTTAAGGTTTATCAAATCATGTTTTCATCCTGGCTTGAACCGGATTGTTTAACCTTAAATAGATCAAAATAAAATGTTCAGAATTGGTCCATGAAGAGAGAACGACCTCTATCCCATCTTACCTGACCACCACTTAAACGGTGATAATCCCAGATCTTCTCCTTTAAATGGGTAATCAACAAATCTGGTTGTCAGGATAAAAGGGTTCATTTTCAAGTCCCTTTGGCTTTGCTTGTTTTGTCTGATCTTTGTTGCAAATACAATGCTCTTAAGGCACAAGCAGGTTTTCAGCAAGGCGATCTGTGGACCCGTTTTTAATTTTCTGATGTACTAATTAATTAATATCACTAAATTTAGGTTAATTTATGGCCAGTATTAAAAGGAGAACTACATGAACATGATATTTTATGCATCCAAATGAAAGAAGGAAGTGAACAGCTCTACATTATATCTGGAATGTGTGTCGTTGTTACTTTCTGCTTTTTCCCATGTGCATGCGGTGGTTGAGAAAATTTTTGTCTAAAAGTAAACAGTATTGATGAAAAAAGTCGAACAAAATTTACTTTCACCAAATAGTGCTCTCAGGTCCATGAATGATGGATCATGAATTGAAGTTTAATGGTATATATATTCACACTAATCACTACCCGGAGATCTCTCTCTCTCTCTCTCTGCTTGCAAACATGCTTTTGAATTAAAGTTTGATTAATTTCTATTTTAAGTAAAGTAGGAGCAAGCTCTGCAAGAATGGATTAAGTGGTGGCAATGGCAGCTAAGGACAAATTTGTTGATTTATATTCATACATAATAATGGCTGGAATATGAAATTGATGACTGTAATAGCACTGTATTTTAGGGAAGATTTATATGAAATTTATTAGGTGAAATTCGTAAAATTTTTAATTAAAAATAATTAAATTAAAATTATAATAAAAAATTAAAATTTATAGATTGAAATATTTTATTATATAGATCAAGTGTATAAAATTTTAAAAATTAATAAATTTTGATATATTTTTTAAATAGTCATTTTTTGATAAAAATTTTAACAAAAATTTTACATTAAATTAGTATAGATCAAATTGAATTATAAATGATATTTTTAATATCATTATATATTTTTATATATTATTAATTTTTTCATTAAACTCTATCAATTTGTTAATTTAGATTTTTTATTAAAATTTTAATTAAATCCTTTATATTAAGAAATTTTACGAATCTCATATATAGAATTTTATTTAAGCTTTGTCTTTGTATTTTATCCGAGAAAGAGTCTATCACCGATTATCAGTTGTTACATTTCAAAAGCTTAAAGAATAATAAATTTAAAATTTAACTTAGTTAATTCATACAATTACCCTTAAAAGAGTCATTTAACAAATTAAAAATTTAAATTTTAGTATTTGGAATTCTTTTATTACTTTCAAGCCAT